TGAAAAGGAGAAAGTTGTAAGAGAGATTACTGGGAGTTAAAAGATTCTTTTTCTCCAAAAACTAGGCCAAAACCAGTATGTTCTAAATTGCTGCACGCAGAAAAAGCAGTAGATGAAACTGGCTCACAACTTAGTACTGCCTGCAATAGTGCTGGCTGGTCTGCATGGAAGTGGGTGATCTTACTGACAGTTCAAGCTCACACGGAGCTCCAGAGGGGATATCTAAACCCAACCTCCTCCAAAAGCCAGAGCAGCTTAACATCCAGGGTTGTGGTTTTTGAGTCTTTCTCTCGTCAGCTTGTGGAAATGTCAAGGTCAAACTGGAACAGCTCCAAGACTTCTGTAAACAGGGAACAAAGATGCATCTCTAACATCCAGCATGTTATCCTTCAAGGGAACCGCTGCTCTGCAAAAATGGCAGAGCACAGACATGTCTGTATGAGCTCATGACAGCCACAGATTTTCTTCCTTCAAATTTTGCCCACCACAATGAGGGAACGACCGTTACTCGGGCCTGTTAAAAGGTGGTGTTAAGCTGCTTCCTTGTGGGGTTGTGGGCAGGCCGGCGCTCCCTGTGCCTGCACACCTCGCCAGCCAGAGCTGATCTGCGAGCGGAGGAGCACCCGCTGCACAGTGCTGGGCTGCTGGCCAGGCTCACCTGAGCATGGCTCCCCCCGGCCAGAGCTGCCTCCATCCTCCTAGCCCGCAGCACGGCAGCCTGCCAGCACGGGCTGTATGGGCATATCTGAGCTCCGACATTACAGGCCGGTAGATCTGGGTGCAGCCTTCCCGCCGCTTTTTTAAAATTCTGTGTTTGGGGGGGGGCCAGAGAGCTGTGGCCAAACCTCAAGCACAACCCCTCTTCAGGCAACTGCGGTATTCTGACATGAGGCAGGACAGCCATTCAGGTCAAAGCCAAACGCATGCAGCAAATGTCAACCTCAGCTGGAGGCAAATGAGAATTCCCAGTGAGAATTCTGGGCGTTTTCTTTAGGCCATGAAGTGCTCAACACAGATACTGAGAGGCAGGAATTTGGTTGCGTTGTTCTGTCCTTCTCCCGTAACAAGATCTCCAGGGTCATCTTCGCTTTGAGGGACTGAGCTCTGCTCTCTGCTCTGTAAGGCATCTGAAGTTTAGCTCTGGGCTACTTGCTCCCAGAAGCATCTCTTCCGACTTTTGTCTCATGCAGCCCTGTCCAAACCACTTTTAGCAGGCTATGCTTGCGAGTTTGTCTGCTTCGGAGATTCCATCTGTCCCGAAACAGCAGTGACTTTCCTCCTCATTCAGAGGCCCCAAACCTTCAGTGAGCCACAACAACTTCATTGACAGTTTTAGTGTTAGGGCTTTGCCGGTCTGAACTTTGCTTGCTCTTAGGAAGGTGCCTTAAACTGAGCTCGTCATGTCCTTCCTACTGATACTGCTTTCTCCAGAATATCTTGTTTCTGGTCTTCAGTTTAGTAATGGCCAAGGCTCACTGCACAACAGCAGTAACCCCGGGCGGAGCGAACAAGTGCAGGGTGATCTGTCTGTTCGGATGGCTCTGCCTTGGCAGCACAGAAATATTGCCATTTCTCAGCTCTTGATCCAAAGCATAACGGTGCAGTTGACTAAGATATTTAAAGGCGTGAAGGGCAATGAGAGCGCTCCGTCCCACTGGAAGCCAACAGGAGCCAGGGATCTAACCCTCATTTGTGCCTTTTGAACTCGTCCCCCAGGGTTTCAGCACAGCAGCAACCAACCAATGTGCAGTTTATTAACTGTGCTTCCCCTCTTTATTTCGTAGCTTTAAGAAAAGCAATAAGATTACGGACTTCAGCTTAAGCACGTATGTACCTGTCTTGTCTGATTTGCCAGTTTGCCATCCTATGTTCCAGCACTGGGACTTCTAAAAGTGTTTTTCTTTCTGGTTTTGTCATTGCTTTTCTGGCATGCAACCGGCAGCAGAGTGCCACTCTGCCGGACGCTGACACAGAGCTGCCGAGGGAATTCTGACACCTAGACCCCGAAATCCTCAAGGTACAGGCATTCTAAAAAACCATCTGTACAATAAGAGGGCTGCATATTCCTTTTATTTGGTGTAGTTTCTTGTAGGTATCGGTATTTCATCTGTAACTTTTTCATTTGTGTGGTGCCTGGCCTTTTTCCATGGCCTGGGAATCCATGAGAACATTTCTTCAGACAGTGCAAAGTAGAAGGTGCAGGCAGAAGGCCTGTGCTCTCTTCAAAGACCTAGTCGATGTTGCTGTGCAATTTTTGGGGAGTCTCTCTAGCCAAATTATTCAAATTACATTTTTTTTCTGCCTTATCTAGGTTGTCCCAGCCTCTGAAGCTGAGACTATCAGAGGTAAGAGAACGCCTGCAGTACCCTATGAGGTGGTGAAAACCTGCCTGTTTGCTCACCTCAGTTTCCCTGTATAAGGGAGGCTACGATTTTCTTCCCTGTCTCAACTCATTAATGTTTGCAAATTGTTTTGAGACCATGGGATATGTGGAACTATTTATAGAAATGGAAAGTGCCATTTCTATTAGGTGCAAGTTGCCATGCAATTAAAATATACTGAGCATCACAATATGCAGCAAATGAGACATCTTGCTTTCTATCAGCCAAGAAACGCTAAGTGACTCTGTGCTTCCTAGTTGCTTATTTTATGCTGTGTGCCTTGAAAGACTCATTAAGGAAATGTATTGGGCCAGACTGTGATGTTTAGCAGGAGTCGTAATCTCTCCCAAAGTTCCCAGCCCACAGGGAAAAGGATGTCCATTTGGACAAATCAAACTCCTCTCCCCATAGCTCTATACAATGCAGAGCTCTATAATTTGCTGTGGAAAGAGAGGGATCTGAACCACAGCTACAGCCCTTCTGCACTTCTTGAAGGAGATTTCCATTGTGTGTGTACATATAAAGCACAGTCTCTGCTCTCAGCCCTTCCAGAGAAGTGGAACAGAATATCCTTTGAATCTCAGCTTTCCTCAACTGCCTCTATGGCAGTGACCAGGGAGAAAGTTTATTGGCTCTTTCTCCTGCAAAGGATTTTACTTAAATTCCTTCCAAAGGGCTGGATAGAGTCTGTCCTCATTTCTGTCTGGGAGAGCTTTGTGAGAGGCCACTTGGACAAGACCGTGGCAACAATTCATGCCATTTGCAGACAACTTTGAAACCCTTACAGTGTCCCAGAATGATTCATTATTTTTATAAGACTATGAAATAGTGTGTGTGTGTCTGTGTGTCTGTGAATATGCATGTGCATGAAGAGTGAAGACAGGCAGCTCCCCGAGGCCCAGAGGCAGGAACAAAAACCAACATAGATTTTGTCTTTATTGAACTGTTTTCGTTTTTGGGTGCTATTTTAGTTCTTCCTCCCCTCCACATTGTAGCTTTTAAGTGAACCCAAAGCAAAAGGATGCACAGTCTTATTTGCTACCACGTTGCCTACCAGAGACACTGGAAGACCTGGTCTAACATCTCCCAGAGGTATAATCCTATAGGAAGAACTCATTTTAAACCTGAGCATTTATAAACCCACTGGCTTTGGCTTCAGCCACCCAGGAGAACAGCAATTAGAACTATCCCTCATCCTAGGTTACCAGGCCTAAATCTAATCTCCATGAAGTTTTCAATACGATTACCTCTGTATCAGCTTTCAAATCAAACAGCACCTTGCTGCTAGCTGCTCAATGAACAAATGTTAACCTAAGCAAGTTCAGAGCAAGGAGTCTACAAATCCTAGGATTTGGAATGATTTCCTAAAAGTTATCTCTAAAAATTCTCCATAAATACCTATCCATTACAAACTAAACCCAAAGCAAAAGCTCACGGGAACAAAAACTAGAACAATTGCTGGAACAAATGTTCAGCGTTTGCTCAGGACCTTGAGTCCAAGCCTTCTTTTGGAGAAGGATACAGGATATATAACCATGTAAGCTTTCACTAGCCATGCCAAGCCTGGAACCTTTTAGTATTGAGTGCCTATATATACCAGAACCTCTGTCCTTTTCACATAATATTTAAGTTATTGCTGCAGGTACTAAAAAGTATTTGCTCCTTGCTGCTGTGTGTTGCATCGGGTGAGAAATGGTACTTACTTCCCAGTTAAACAAAGAGAAGACCTCACCGACATGTATTATGGTGCATAAGAAAGAGAACAACAAGCAAACCCTTTTACACTTTTCATTACTAAAATAATTTTCTGGTATCAGGAAACAGTAAAGTTGACTGGGCTTGGGACAGCAAACTTGACTTGGGAGGGACTGATCTGTCAACGGCAGCAGTAGAGAAGAGACTGCTGGTTTTACAACAAGTTTTAAAAGGAAGTATCTAGCCTTCACTAAACAGGTAAGACATTTTCCTCTCCTTGCCTGCCCCCTTTGCTGTTATAGTTCCATACCCAATGGTGCCTCCCTCAAAAGGTTTTGTTAGACTGATTTGTCTAGGTAAGAAAATGTCACACTGAAAGAATAAATCTGGGGAGACTGCAAGTACAAACACTCACACAGAAGATTTCTTAAAATTATTCTCTATGTGTGCTTGTAGAAACCAGTCTCCTCCCAAGTTTAGAAGTCCAAATCCCACATGAATGGAAAAGAAAATCATGCAAGAGGTCAAAGAAATCCAAAGCAAACATGAATATTAGATTTGTTGTATGGTCCTATAGAGCAAGCTGGGTAAAGTTACTCTCCGGGTTGGCTCAGTTATCAACATCTCTTGGTGTACTGCAGTGACCTTTGTGACATTAATTTCACCATTTCACATTAGCTTCTGTTGTCTCTCCAGCTCTTTGTTACCATCAATATTAAGCTGGTCTAGCAGGAGATGTGAATAGCCTGCATGCTTTTAACCCGTGCTTCCACAGTGAAAAAAACTGAGATACAATACCAGAAATAATAATTCTATATAGTTTAAACAAGTTTTGGGACAGCTGTGCAAAACCTGTATTGCAAGGTTTGCATCTTACGGGATGGGAATGAGGCTGATTTCTTTAAAATGCATAATTTATCCTACCTTGCTCGCTTTCAATATCTCAAACATCAAAGGCAACCCTTGTGTGATGAGCTCCTCTGTGTACTCTTCTTCCTGAATGGACTTGAATTCCTTTAGCAAGCATTGGATGAGGGGTCTTCTGTGCTGCTGGAAGGACGTTCGCAAGGACTCCAGCCACGTGTGCAGCGTCCAGGGAACACCTACAGACGGAGGACAGAGCTCATTCCCAGCTTCAAAGGAGCGTGTGTCCTTTTGCTTCCCTTTTTTTCTTTTAAACCTTTACTTATTTTAATCTTAAGATTTTAAGCAAAAGTTGCCAAATAGCCCTAGAAATCAAATTCCTATTTATCCACAAAGATGAAGACTGATGGTTTATCAGGACATCCCAAACCTAATACACAGGGGCACTCCTCCAAGGGTTATGAGAAGACTGTGGTCTCTTTGCTTATCTAGCCTTCAGCTTCTCTGCTGAGACTGACAATTTGTGATAATTGCTGCGGTGCTTTGCGATGCGAAAACCTGTTGGAAACTCAATTTACGCTAGCTCATTTGTTTGAATGTGGCCCCAGAGAGCCATTAAATGATAAAAAAGACTTTGGTCACTACCCACCAGTATTCAAACTGGCGGTCACGCAATCAAAACTTTTTTAAAGCTCTACCCCAAGTCCTCTACTGTTCGTTACTATTTCCCCTAAACAGCACTGAGTGAGTTAAGTAGATCAGCCTTTTTAGGTAGTCATTTGTCATGGTAGAACCACTCTCCAAGAACTTAAAGGGAAATGCTCCCATGCCCTGACTGATAAAACACAAGAGTCCAGGCATGAGCCTGGATGTGACCTAGCTTCCTCTTCTTGCAGAACACAGTGAGAGGAAAGGCTCTAAGCCTTTGGTTTGCTACAAAAGGTCCCTCCTTCCACTTTAGCAAATGTCCCATGCCCTGAGGGGAGCCCTTTTGCTCTCCTCCAACCCATCCCACTGTCCTTTTCTAGCTCAGCCCTCCCGGTGAGCCTAAGCACACGGCCACCATAGGCTCCCACTCAGGTGGCAAACGCTGATCCAGGTGAGAAGACTCCAGGGTGGGAGCGCTGCACCACGCAGAAGGGCGCCCAGCACCCTGGTCTCTCTCTGAACACACGTTAACAGGGAGAGTAAACAAACAGTCCAGACTGAACTTCCTTTTGTACGACCTGCCCACCCTTGGCAAAGGCAGGAGTGATTTCCCGAAAGGCTGGTGTGATGTTCGAGCTCCATGTTGGCACCGTTAGCCCACCAAGAAGCCAGTTCATTGCTCCTCCCTTCCAAGAGGCTCACAGAGCTCGGGAAAGAAGGATGTCGTAGCAGTGGACTGCTTTACAGGCTGAGTGCAAAAAAGGAGCTGTTCTTAGTTAACGCTCTGCTAAGCCACAGTGAAGATGGTTGCTGGTGGAAACCACTCAGTTGTGCAGAAAAGTGCACGTGGCGCCTGAGTAGGGTGAGCTGAACCATGCCAGGAATGTACAGGACCCCCTGACACCTTCAGACTGAAGGACAAAGAACAAGGTGCTGCTCTCAGTACGGATGTAACACACAGGACTTGCCACAAAAAGTGGTTGCCTGTTTTGTAGGGTCAGATTAGTAAGCAGGAGGCTTCACTGCTCAACCTGTCTCTGCAAAACACTTTGAGTGCGCAAAACCAGAGAGTGGGGAGACCACTTCCAGGGCAGGCATCAGTGGACCTGACACAACGCAAACTTCCAGGAAAAGCCGAGCCTCGCAACGTATATGCCATGTGGCATCTGCATTTGCGACGAGACAAGCAAAGCACATGCCACCCAGGGGAGATTGCCCTATTCAGTCAGAGTTCATTAAAACAAACCCGACTTGACAGATGCCCAGGAGCCACAGCTTTAAACCTGGCTTGAACTGCCTGAACTCGCCTCCCCCTCTCCTCACCCACAGACCCACTTGGAAATCCCCTACAATTGTTGCTTCCACAGGAATTCAGGAAGATTTAACTCTTGTGCCTTGACCAACAGCTCAAAAATGTATTTCTAAGAGCAGTCTGTCAGAGGAGGGAAAGGAGAGAGGACACCACAACTGACCTATGCTCCTGATGTCAATAGTCACATCCACGTATCCATGCTCGGCACTGTGATACATGGCTTCCTTCAGGGCTTTCAGTTTGGCCTTGCTGTTGCGGCTGGCGCAAAGCGGAGCCGCCGCAGAACTCCCCTCGGCCAATATCTCCTCCAGGGACAGAATATCGCTCTTCTCTTTCTCCGGCTGAGCGAGCAGCTTACGAAACACGTTCCTATCAACCACAACACAAGAGAGAGGGAGAGATAAAAGAAAGAGAGAGAGAGAAAGCAGAGTTAGTGGTTATGCTTTCTTTCTGCCCAGGAGACTTTCTGTGTCATGGCAGGTTAGGACACCTATCCAACAGGCCAATCAGAAATTATTCCAATTAACAGTCATTAGGTAGGACAGGCTTACAGCAGCCCTGATGCAAACACCACTCCTGGTAATCCACCTGCACTGCCTGGACCACGTCTGCAAGACTGGCCGTGTTGCTGCAATAACAGAAATTGTACAGATGTTATATGTGCAGCAGGACCTCGTAGGAACAGGAATCCACGAGCTAAATAGGACTCTTACACGGTTGAACTTGGGTGGCACCTGCCCCACTCTTCAGGGAGGCTGAGTTGCCGTCAGAAAAGCTTTAAGGACTTTCGCTTTGAGGATACTACTTGAAAAGGGAGATGTGACTTGAAGCTACTGAAAACACCATCACCGTCGATTAACAGTTAAAGCAGTCTGTGAAAGCTGGAGCAACTAGACATTCAGCTAGGCCGATCAGGGCAGGTTCAAGCAAATTTGGGGCTGACTCTGCAAAGCCAGCCATATGGGCTGCCAAACAGCAAAGCCCAAATTCAGCCAGTGGCTTGGTACCCCACTCCCCTCCAGTTCATACCAGCATAACCTCACTGATCTCAGAAGAGGTGCTCCCAGGTTTCCGTGGCTGTGAGAAGGGAAACAGGCCCAGCTCCATCCCACCTCCCACGTACCCTGGCAGCTCCCTGCCAGCGGCACCTGCACGGGCCCCGGCGCGGGGCGGCAGCGGGGCACAGCGCGTCCAGAACAAAGGAGGGATTCGGGGAGAGAGGGAAATACAAGGCAGTGTGGGTGCGTGGCGTGCAGCTAGGAAAGTAAGAGACAATTCTCATGTGAAAATTAAGCTGTGACTCTGTGACATGCACAGCCAGCACCCAAATCGAGGAGAGCCTCAGGTCCTCCTAGGTAAGACTGATACTATGATGCAGCTCCCACTCAAACCAGTTGGCACCAGGGCCCCAGCAGTGAACATAAGATTACAATAAATAAACTGTCCTCTCCGTCCCGGAGATCCCTCGTAGGCTTCAGATCGGCAGCATTGTTTGAACCCACCCTGACATGCCATTAGCATGTTATTAGGCTGGCAGCTCTTCTCTAAGCAAACAGATGGTAGATACTGTCTCTAACCTGTATCTATGTTCCTCTGGATGGCTACAATCAGAAAAGTAGGCATGTGAAGATCATAATACTAATCCATTATACTGCAATTAACTCCTGAATGTTGCAAGATCATGCATGCCAGGTGCTCATTTCATTACTTTTTAAAAAAAATTTGCAGCACACATACAACATGAACACACACAGGACTTCACAGTAAACACAGACGCAGAAACTCTGCTCGGTGACAGCTAAGCCTGCAGCAGCACAGACACAGTCCACCCCAAACCTCAGAAATAAATAGGTCCACAAGAAATTCAGAAGGAATGTTTCTGGCATTCCTTTCCACCCTCACATCAGCTACCATTTTACAAACATCACATTGCAACACACCACAAAGAGCCCCCTTCCCTTTTTTTTTAATCAGAAATCAAAAAGCAGTTTGTACCACCAACTGGTCAAATTCACATGCTAGCAAAAAGCCTTGTATCTCTGCTCAGCTGGTGGCATGTTTAATTGTTCATGCAGAGCTTCCACCCATCTGCTCAAATCACACCCCCAGGCAAAATGTAACCACTTCAACGATGCCACTAGACTTGTTCCCACTCTACCTGTGTCCATGTGCAGCAGCCTGACTGAAAGAGTTCATGTCACCTTGTGGAGTCATGGAAATGCCATTCCTGTACATTGTTCCTATCATGGGGTCAGCTCCTCGCTCCAACAGCAAACTAACCAGTTCAAAATTTCCTGTAAGTCAAGAGACGCATTTTTATTTCCTTTGCAGTCCAATTTTTGCTCAGCTAAATCAGAGATCCCAACTGAAGAAGTCAGTACAGTGGGAAGAGAAAGTCCTTACCAGCAGCTGCTGCCAACTGTAAGGGAGTTTCAGAGTAATTTTCCTCTCCATGCTCCAAGGAACCTTCCACCTTTGCTCCAGCATCCAGCAACAGCTATAAAGAAAATTTACCATTTAGAGCAACCGGGGCAATCACAGCGTTCAGAGTTCATGAACAGTGAAGGATGACAGTCTAATGCTTCTTGTTCTCTGCAAACCAGATGTGATGGAGGCAAACGACATGCAAATTCTGCCCATAATTTCACAGAGGAAAACTGATTCCTTTTTTCGCTCATTTGACACTGTTAAGACACCAGGAGCATTAGTGTCCAACTTCAGAGCCAAAAAAGTGTTACTCAGTGTTTCTGGATGGGAAATGGGGATAAGATCAGTGTTAGGAAGTAAATGCACTGAGGATGGAAGTACTGAAAATTTGCCCAACAAGCATCCTTCCTTCACGGTCTTCTAGAAGGTCAGCGCCATCCTAAAATGGATCAGATTTCAATTGCCTCCATCTTTAATATAAAGACATGGCCAAAGAAAGGCAATTCTTAGGAACAAATTGCAGCCATGAGTCCAAAACCTGCGGTCTCCATCAGGTACACTTCCACATGAATTATTAACAGTGATGAAAACAAAACTGGCCAAGGACAACAGGACGGAGCCTGCACTCCACCTCCTGCCTGGCCATTTCTGTCAAAGGCCTTCATTATTTCGGAGCTTCATTAAGTGTGCCGTAGACACAACTGTTTTGAAGAATAAACCCGCTCAATTTCTGAGATGCCAAAGCACAGAACCAGCATATTGCACATGACGCCTTGCTCGGGTAAGGAGACTGAGTGCTTCTCTGTCTTTGGAACAGAACAACGGTTGTTGTTGTCTGCCTCTCCCCCCACCGAGATAGCATTTTTTTGTTTTGTTTTGTTTTTTAGAGTATTATAGTATAAGAGAGTGCAATGAATGAGTAAACAAACATATAAAACAAGTGGTAAGGAAGGAGCACAAGGAGTTGTCAGACTTTCTTTGGTGCAGCTTTGCTTCAAAATTGTCCTATTTAAACCTCATATTGGTTAAAGTTTGAACACAGTATTTGTTATGTAATAGGTCTATTATATATCAGTACACTCTAGAAGAAGCAGAAGTAACCAATATGAGTATGACAGAGGATACTGGTTTGAGATGGATGTAATTGTAACTGAAGAGGAGAAACAAAAAATGAGATGCAGGTAGGGAAATACAATAATACCTGAACTACAGGAATATGTCCATGCAACACAGCAAATGTCAGAGCTGTCCAATGGCGGGTCTCAGGGTGGACGGATGGGTATTTATGAGCAGTACTGACAACCTATAAACAAATTAAAGTTATTTTTTTAATGGCTTTCGAAGATCTATAAGTAATAAAATCCAACCTGCCTGAAAGCCAGGCACGTGAGGGAGTAAGTGAAATAGAAAACCTGGGAAAGGTGCTTTATAAAATGATCGGTTTCATTTTGTCCAGCAAAAAATTTCTTAATACTAGAAGCGTTCATGCTGACTTGACAGCTTGAATAGAGTTCATACCAAATGAAGTCTTTTTACCAACTACTGTAGCTCCATCTAAACCACTGGCCACCAGATACTTTTGCACAAAGGTCAAAACATCCATAGCTGTTTACAGCAGCACGCACTGGGGAAGCGAGGACTGAGCAGGATTACCTTAGCTTACAGCTAAGGACCATTCCCCACTGACTTCTGCAGGATGTGAATCAACGGTCCCAGGTCTTGGGATTGCTTCAGGTCCACAGAAATTCCTTCCATACAAATCAGTATGACTTTTGTCACTGACGTCAAGGAAGACATACTGTGATCCCCACACTAGAGTTTAAAGACGTGTTTCCAGGCTCCTTGTCCCCCATTGGAGGAGAAAAGACAGTTAAGAACTGATGGGGCAGAGTGGCATTTAAAATATGTTTTAAAAAAACTCCCTTTAACCGCTTTCTCCTGTCTGAGTTGAGTTAAAAAGAGCAGAGCAGCTACAGTCAAAAGGGATGCAAACTATACGCTTAAAAAAAAAAAGATACTTTACACATTACTCCTTCCCTTCTCTATTCTTTCATGCATGGTGCCTCTAACGCAGACCTTAGGTAAAAATCTCTTTGCTTCGGTTTCCCTGTCTTCAAGACGGAGATATTAATATTGATGAGGTTCACAGAGATGGTAAAAATCTAATGAGCAGTTGCAATCTGAGATTGCACAGTCAGATGGAGTGTGACACTAAAATTCAAACTCTTATTATTGATCTTCAGAGGAGGACTAAAATCAGAGTAAAAGAGGCACCATCTCTCTCATCAGCCAGCTCTGCTTTCACTGTCTGGTCTGCAGTGGTTTTATCTATATGGGAGAGTAGGGCCAGTTATTAAATGCTCGGTTGCATGAGCAGACAGCATTTCCAAGCTTCACATGCAGGGTCTTGCTAGAAGCATATGACCAGTCCCTGCGTCCCAGTGCTAGGGATGAGGGCAGAGTTTGAACAGCCAGTGCAGATCCCACAGCTTGCGAGAGGAGAAAACCTGCACCAGCAGCTGGCCATATTGCCCAAATTTGCCAAAGGGAGAGCTCAAAATGCTCTTCTTTTTTTGCAGCCTCGTAGGGGCAAGTACACCACAAGCCCTGAAGCTTGCTGAGGAGGAGCGTGCTGAGGTCTAACACAGGCATGGGACTTCTTTGGGTCTGGGTTTGCTCCGAGGGAAGTGGATCAAGCAGTCTGGGTTTGGGCTGGGGAGCAAGAACATCAGAGGGTGAGGATGAGCAGGCTAGGTTCAAGGCAAAGCAGCCCCTCCAATGAGATACACATCCAGCTACTCCTCTTCTTCCAGCATGGACTCCCACTACTGTTTGCGGAAGCCCACAGCAAGCAGCGAAGAAAATGAAGTAGTTTTAACTCCTGTGCTCCTTTTCATGGTTACAAATTCTTTTCAGTAGTTTTCAGTAGTTGTTTGCAAAAGACCTGCAGTTGACAGGGCTTTTAAGACCTCCGTTGAGATTTGCTGAGCAGCTACAGGTCCTACCAACTCCACAGCAAATTGCAGCTTCTCAGCACATCTGGAAATGAGTCCATTTTCTCTAAAGACGGGCAATCAAAAAGGGAGGCACCCAGCATTTGAGGCTACTTTTGGAAACGTATATAACTGATTTGCAAAGTGAAATGGGGAAAATGATGCAGGCACCTGACTGAGTATTTATTTTTGTTCGTGGCTGATTTGCTTCATTTTTTCCCACATAATTGCCCAATTTGCACAGTTGGTTGTGGTGTGCACAAATCATCTTATAATTGCACGCCATAATTATTCACAGTTCTTGTCCCAAAGTGTTTTCATTTGATTTTGGAGCAAACACTCTAGAGAAATGAATCAGGGAGGTTCAAATTCCTCACTGGAGCCGTTCTCTCAGATGTCAGCAATTTCAAGAAGACAAAAGTGTTTAAATTTATATTTGGTTCAAGTCTGGAAGATTACTGGAGCAATTGGGAGGACTGGACATTCTTCTTGTAATGAAAACTTGTTCCAAATGAACCAAATGAATGCCACCTCAACTCGGTGAGCAACAAGCAGGATTAAAGGAAAGATCAGTCTCCATGCCTGTCCGATCTTTGGTCTGTCTATAGAGACTGCTAATAAGGGTTCAAGCATCCAATTACTGCCAGCTCTGAGGGTGGTTTACTTTGGGAGGGGAGAGGCAAGAGTGGATTCCACAAGGAACTGAACTGAAATTATCAAGTGACTTCACATAAGCCACCAAACAGCAATCAGATAGTAATGACTATCAGTCTCTTACAGGTGACATCCATGTCTACTTTTAAATTAAATTTTTTAAAAGTGCAAAATGTCCTGTTGAAAGCAGTGACTACAATTTATCAGCTCTCTCAAATCCAAACAGAACAGATGGAACACAGATAAGTGAAGCAGACAGCTTAATTTACTCATGACCTCAACAAATTGAAACTGGAACCATTAACAAATAGTTCTTTTGTGGACTTTCAAACGGCTCTTTAAAATGTACATACCTGCATTGCTCAGAGTGGTATCACAATCTGTTTGGAGGACAGATTGTGCAAGTTTGTGATGTGCGTTCATCAGAGAGATGCTTATATTCTGGAAGCTTCAAGCTCCTCATCCAACCGTTTTTAACCCAACGCATTTCATAAAACACAACAGTGGATCTTATATTGCACTCGTCTGTTGTGGATGCTTAGAAGTAACATCCCAATGCATGGAAATGTTCACGCTTTGGCAGGTCATCAGTCAGAAGGGTATTTCTTTTACCCTCTTCATTTTAACTCAGCTGAGATTCAGGCAGTCCTACCAACCTCATTAGAACTGTGCTGGTATTCATGTCTATATTCACTTGAAGTGTGCAATCACAAATAAATCAACAATATTACCTGTGGGGATAAGTCACCGATGACTTGACCCTTTCTGTGCAGTGGATCCCAGTGTTAACCTAATGTAGTTTGATTTCAATATTCAAGTGTTGCTGTCCAGGATAAGACAACTTTTTTCTGTTTTTAATTCTTGAACATTTTGCCCTCTCCTACGGTTTCTGTGGGTGGTTTAAGATGCAAACAAATAACAGAACAAAGATACAATCATAACAAAAAGTCCTCACCTCAGCATTCAGATCTGCTCCAGCATCTAGCAGCATCTGCACCATAGCCTCATCACCCCTGACACAAGCATACATCAGTGGAGTCATGCCCTAATCGTTTTTTTGGAGTTAAAAAAACAAAGGAATCGACACATTTACCATAGAACACTTTTGTTTGTTTGTTTGATTTTTTAAACACAAATTTAAGTACATATCATCACAACTAACAGTTTATATTTAACAAAATCCACTACCTCTGTTACAGACAAGCCCCTCAGACTAGCAAAAGCCAACAGTTTAGTAGAATCTCAATTATTTGCTGCCCCTTGGTTGGTTGTTTCATTTTTGTGTTGTCCTCAGCGCAGTGAGTGAAACGAGGCTTGTCAGTCTCATCTTCATCTGCATGCACTAAACTAAGCATCTTTGTCTTTAGGGCCTCAGCAGAGAAACGTTTATATCAAATCAGGCAACTCTGTTTCCACCGATATTAAAAAAAAAGGCAGTAACTCTATTCAGTTTTCTATGATCACTGTTTCATCAAATCTACTTTTTAATTTCTAATTCCTGACAGAGCCTTTAAAAACATCCACCATTTCTCTTAAGACAGGTAGATCTGGGCACAGCTTTCTCATGCAGGGCTGGAAATATAAAAGCTTTGTAGAGCGCTCCACAGCAAACAATGACTTAATTTTAAAGAAGATGCTAGATAGTATTGTTGCAAGTTGCTGGCTCTAGGAAAACACTGCCCGGTTCGGAGGAAAACTAGATTAACTGACCCTTTGCTACAGAACCACCACAATGCAATTTGTATTAATCCGAAAAATTGGGTGCAGCTGATCACCATTTCCCTCAAGATAAACATTACTTTGGCAGTGGTAATGAGTCTAGATGAAACCACGAAGATATCATTAAAACTACAATAAATTATAACAGAAAAATCTGCTTATTAAATATAGCGGGGGGTGCTGATCAACAGGCGCCAGTTGTTCTGCAGCACACAGCTACATCTCACGCATGTTTATAACCTATCTTGAGGTCCCCTGGTAAATTTGCTGTCAGATGATAGCACGCTTGCTGCTTAACCTGCGTGTTGCTGTGAAGTGAAATTATTTACAGAAATAGAGATGCTCAGCATAGCTAGAAGCAAAGCCACGACTCTGTTCTTCCTAGCAAGAACCCAGCTCCACTGCTTTTGCTGAACTTCCCATTTTTTCATGTTTCCATGCAAGGCTAAGCATAGTGGGCTCTTAGGTATGGGAGTGCTGCCCTTGCAGAGAAAATGTAAGTTAAAGTTTAACTCTATAAGATACTAAGATTTCTCAAGCCCCCTTGAAACACATTGAACATTTCACAGGATCAAATCCATAGTGTATTTTTGGAGATACAGAAAAAAGGAGCAGGAATTTGGGGCCTGATACCATTATTAACAAGAAGAAACTTCACCTCAGGCAAGGAGGGTTCTTGGGTGACGTGAAGTTATTGGCAAAGAGAATTTGAAACTACTTCTGCTGCAGTCAGTGGCACATTTCCTTTGGTAGTCAATAAACAGGACCAGAACAAACAGGACCACAAGAATGACAAAAAATTGTGCTTGCACCTTGAAATGTGGTGGTTGGGTTACAGCTTAAAACTAAATACATTACTTAAACTACTATTGCAATTCATTTAAATTAAGTCATTTAATAATTAAACTAAGAGTTTAATACAAAGGGTCTAACTGAATTTGAAGAAAAAAATTTAAAAGCCCCATGCTTGAACTCCAGCCTGCAAGTGACAGCAAGCACATGGGTGGCCACAGCAACAAATTCCCCACAGTAATTTCAGGGGCCCTGTTTAAGCAAAGAGTCTGCCTAAGTACTGTACATAATATTTTGGCTCTGTTGAAGCTGATGAGGGATTTATCACTGACTAAAATGGGGGCCCAGAATGTCATTTTGCACTATCAGGGTTGAAAACAGTTAACAAAGTTTCTAACCTCCCCTTCCCTACCACAGCTGTCACTGCTGCTTTTGCAGCTGCCCATCCCTGAGGCTTGCTCTGCAGCTCAGGCTCACTCTGCATCATCACTCAACCCCTCTCCCTTCTCATGTGGGAGGAATGGATTTTTAACGAGCCCATCATTACTGCTCAACACATAAACAGGAACAGGGCAACAACATGTGCAATCAACACAACAGGCATTTGGGTTTTGGCAAAATACAAAATGGCTTTTTCTTTCAGCCTTATATCACTTAGGGCTCTGTCCTGCAAGATGTGGGATGTCTGATCCAGTGAAGCATTTAAGCACAGGCTTAACTTTCACTCAGATGGGATGTAACTACGTATTCAGAGCTGAGCATATGATTAAGTACTTTGATGAATCAAGCCAGAGTGCTCCCAGCTTTCAGCCAGGAGGACAGAGGAAATGTGCTGTGAAAAGCTTCCAGGTTTAGACTAACTTAAAATAATAACGATTTAAAGAAGTATAATGTATAAACCTTGGAATGAACTCTCCGATATAAAATTTATTCTGAGAGTATTTCCCTCTTCTAAAGCATTTCTCAAACTAAATCTACAATATTGTCTCAAATTGAAACTACTGAACAGCAACATAACTCATATTCCTAGAGCAGCTTTCATCTCAGAGGACCTGAATCCCATTTAAAATGCAGCTCCCATCACAGGCAACTACTACAGGGGTGGCAGTCGGCTGTCTCCTGACGAATAGGATGCCAAAGCTCTGGGACCATGCAGTGACACTTTCATCAAGGGCACCAGGATCTTTCATATTTGTGCAGAAAAGGCAGGCTCTTGGCCTTGAAGGTCTCATCGAAATGAGTCTCTCTCAGAAAATTCAGGCAACTCCATTTCAAAAGGAAATAGTAACATCTGTTGCCGTCATTTCCTCCTGGGAATAGGGAACAACCTTATGAACACCACAGTCCAGCACATTTCTGCTGGTAGGCAATCACGGAGGCAGGTTTATGCCAGATAAAACCAGTAGCCTCATTGAGATGCTAGTATTTGTTAAGAACTTACCCAAAGACTAGGGTACAGACTCATAAAGGGATATAGCTTACTAGTTCCTTTTATTCAAGAGAAATTTAGGCTCCTAAATTGGCGAGTGTTGGCCACAAAGACTAATAGAATGGTAATGCTGTAGAGACACTGTCACATCTAGGTGACCAGCTCAAACTGGGCCCAATTTAATGACACGGTGAAAGTGAGGTAGCCTTTACAAGCCAGGGGTTGGGTGCTATACATGAAATGCTTTGCAACGCTCGGGGCAGTTTTCTGTGGAAAGGCGTTCACCTCACAAAGACCTGGCCCCCCGCACTGTTCATGACATTAAAACAGTTTTAAGTATTCAAATCACCACTAAGTTCTCTTATGATTATCTTCTGGTTTCACCTGAATCAGTTGAATTTTAAGAAAGGGGACTTATATGTTCTCTTGCTGAGTTACCTCAGTATAAGATAATCAATGTGACTCAAAATGACCAAGCTTAACTTGAATGTTCACCTAATGGTGCTTTAATGCAATGCAAAGGGTTGCAGGGAAAGCATTAAGGACCTTCCTAAGTTGGAGCTCATGTTCTGTAATAAGCAGACAAAACTCTCGTGTTTTATAGTAACTTCTTTACATTTCCCTTCTGTTACCTGTTCACTCATGCTGTTAATTCCATCCGGCCCCAGCAAGGATATGGCCTGTTTAACTAGATCTGTTCGGCCACAGTTCAGCATTCGGAAACCCAGGTCCTGCTTGAACTTCGCTTCAGTGGCAACTGCATCCAGTTTCCGAGATGCACAAAAACAGTCGTCGATTCTGTGAACGTGAGAAATAAACTCCCTCAGAGGACAGTCAGAGGACAGACCTCACTGTCCTTAGCAAAATAATACTTTGTCCTGTCTCTGAAGGATGTAGGTCGTACACACAGTCATTCTCCTTTGACCTGTATGCTCAAGGGAAACGCTGAATGTGAAATGCTAATGCAAGTTAATGGAGATCGTCCTTGATCTATCGTTTATGGGACATGTTATACATTTTATTAAAAATGGGGGAAAAGGCCACAGCTTTCACTTGATGTTGTTTCTGTGCTGGCGCAACCCACAGAGCACTCTCACCGCAAATTCCCTCTCCACATGAGAGGTGATCCAGTCTCCCCCATCTGAAAAGTTTCACTGCCTTCAGTAAGCTCTGGATCTAGCATCCAACGGACACACAATCACTGACAATAAAAAGAAGGGGACGTGGTGTAATTCCAAAAGGCTTCAAGGATCTTACCAAACAGCCCCAGCAACAGGGAAGCCTTTTTGGAGAAGGAAGTGCAAATCCCACAGACAGACAGGCCACCATACGGTCAGGGAGGAGAAGGCACTCTTGCCAGGTAATTGTGGCAAAGCACCACAAATCCTTATTGGCTGTGCACAACCAACGGGAGGCCATTTGTTAAGGTCTAGTTCAAAAGATCCTCAAACTGCTCAAAATATCCACTTCAAATGGAAGAAGGCCTAGGAGTTATTTAGCGAAGATGTGAAGCTACAGCTCCAGAGAGAGCAGGCACTTCAAATCTGATGTTTATCCAACTCAGTTTCATCTCATTAAGAGATAGCTTTGTTTTTCTTTCATGCTGAAGAGTGTCTGGGGCAGAGGGTGGAGTCCAAATCCACAGTGCTTTTCGGTGCAAACTTGAACTGTGTGGAAAAATACCGCTTTCATTCTCCAAAAACACTAGGTCAGAAACAAGGGGCAACTTATGAATGAAAAACAACAACAACAATAATAAAATCAGAAAGGAAAAAGGCAAATACTCATTGAATATTTGTATTCTATTAAATATGTAAAAAATTGCAGGAAACAAAAAAAAAAAGGCCACAAATAGCTTGTCATTATCATTTCATTTTCTCCTTCAAAGTGCTCTATCAGAGCTGTATAAAATATAGAACACTGCTTAATATTTAACAATGATATGCAATGAATACACCGTTTACATAGAAGCAGTGATATGTAGTTGTAGCTTCTGTTCCTCCCCTTTCAACGTAGGAAGGAAAGCGGCACAGGAAACGATAACTAATTTCATCAAAGCTGCAGCAGGACTTCGTACTCAAACCTGTATCTGAGCTCAAGCTTGCCTATCTGGGCCACGACCAGATTAGAAGACAACAGACATTTCGGTAAGGCTCATTCTACATGCTCAATTTTAGTTTTGACTGCTGAACAGTTGATGTCAGATGAATGCAAATAAAGCTTGGAGTACCATTACTCCGGGCTATGAGGATGACGCTTCATTACAACAGTATGCTGCGAGATTAATGCACAACACTCAATCGCAATAAACACACCATAACAGCAATAATAATAATAATAATAATAATAAATTCCTTTGGAATAGTATGTTCCACAACAGAGATGAAAAAACAGATCCATCATAAGGTTGCTTTTTGTGCAATACTTTCTGAGCAAGTTTAAGAAAAAAGAAAAAAACATCAGAGACATGTAGGGCTCAGCTCAATGACACAGAGATCCATGGGAGCAATTGCTCTTTTTACAAGTTCACACGCTACAGCGGTATTTGCTACTTGTTGCACCACAGCATGAGATGCTAGAGGTCACCTGTGCACTCTTGCAATGTACAGCAAAGATAAAGAAAAGATAAAGCATGCTCAGAAGGAAAGAGCTTGGGGTTTTCAGTGCACACGGAGAAAGCATGGACTTCTCGGCTCCAGCTGGCCATTTCCAGATCACTCTGGACTGAACATGAGGTAGATGCTTGGAGAAGTGCAGCTATGGAAAGATCAAGAAATTCTCTGAGGGCTGCAGAGGTGTCTGCCACTATGAATCATTGCTTGTGTTAAGCCACTGCTTCATCATTTGTACTGAGGTATATAACATACATTCTACATTCAGTGAATAAAATGGGTCGAACTCACGGCTGGCAGAAACAGACAGAGCTTCACTGACGTCAGCCGGGCTTGGTGCATGCAAAACGCTTGCCGATGATCTTCCCTTTACAGAAAGCAAGATTTTGACTTGGTTTGCACACCCACACAAGGGAGGGAGGACGAACAAGGACCTATCTTTCCTATCTTGTGTGGGCTGCCCAGATGTCTGCTCTGGCACGGGTTAGGAATTACTTACTCCTCCATGAGTAACTCCTCCCTGAGCTAGCTCTGGTCCCCTGAAAGCCACTCAGTCCACCTGCTTATAGCCAAGGAAGGAGCATCATAATTGCTGTTGATATTGGGTATCAGCCAATTAGCACTCCTCAGTCACCTGGGGGACAAGGGTCTTGGTCCAAGGCTAGGGCTCCTAGTAGCTATATCTGCCCAAACGCTACGACAGCGATACAGGTTCAAAGGAGTGTGTGCCCCAGCTGCAAGGCTGCTGGGCACTGACTGGTGCTGGTAGGTCAGCAAAAACTGCTGACCTCTCTGGGGCGCTTGTACTCCCCATGACACAGCTCTTCAGGGTGTTCCTGAAGGGGCACAGAGGAAATGTGATCTATCACAAAGCAAGAGACCAAAACTCAGTGCCATTACCAGCTGTCCAGTACCTTGTTATACCCCCAAAAGGACCCATGATTAATGAGTTACATCCCTGATTTACGGGACGTAACAAAAGAAACCACATGGTAAAATTCAACATAGATCACTGCTGGTGCTACTATTATCCTATTTTATGAAATGGATAACGATTAAACTGAGGAGTTCATTAAAATAAGAGCATGATGTGAAGAAAAGGAATGGAAAATGCTGCAGAAAAGAAAATGTAGCAATACCTGGAGAAGCCAGAGAAATGCATCAGTTAAGAAAAGGAGACTTAACATGTACAGGTATAAAGGAGTGAAGAGACAGATCAAAAACGATCAGGAAGTACAAGTACAGAATGGGAGAACATGGCATCACTTGCAACACTGGAGAAAACCAACTGGGAAAATGGTACAGCAGACAGAAGGAATAGGCATAGCTCAGAATGAAAATCATAAATCAGAAAACTCCTAAGCCATCAAAAAAACAACCCCAAGCCAACACAGCAATGCATTTACTCCTAAATCCTCTTTCATACCAGTAACTGTATAAAGCTGATTCCAACAGGATCATTCTAGTTAATATGAACTTACCCAATGGCTCCGCTCCATTTTACACTGTGTAAGTGGCTGCTGCACTATCATGGCAATGGGTACAATATAGAATCATAAACGTAAAAGGGTGCCTGATAAATGGAGGAATGGAGTAGGCACCCAGGGCTGCTGCATTCAGATTTTTTAACTTTGTACTGCAACAAAGATACCAATGAGTTATAAAGAGGTAGGAAAAGAATGGGAAGAAGCTTGAAAAATAAGGTTGAGAGGGAACAGTTAAGTGAGCTAAATATACAGGATCACTTTTTAGAATTGTGAAACTGTGCATGCAAAGAAAGGGAAGTCAGCGTAAGTGCTGCTGAAAAGAGCAATGCAAACAGAACTGGAAACCTCCCCAACTGCACAGTCAGTTCACAGTCCTTTTGCCAAAGAGTATTTGTGATCTTTCCAATTGCATAGGATTCTGACACGGGCTCGAGAGTGGGACATGCCCTCCAAGGCCATGCCAGTTTGTTGCCAGATCCTGCTGACTGCCAACTCTCAAATAGTCCATCCTGCCCCCTTCGTCCACATCCCATAAAAAAGGTGATTCTTCATGAAAGCACCCACCTCAATCACTTATCTTTCCTCTGCCTTCTATCCCTTCCCTTCCCTTCCCTTCCCTTCCCTTCCCTTCCCTTCCCTTCCCTTCCCTTCCCTTCCCTTCCCCATGCACTCAACAGTGCTGTGAAAACCAGCAGAGCCCCATGAACACAGTAACCCCCAGGAACGACTGCTATTTAGAAGTAAATTCCACAGATATTCAGCTTAATGAAATCCTTCTTTGTGCCTGGGGGTGGGTGGATGTCTTAGATCATCATTAATTTAAGCAAATCCAAATCAAACCAAAAAAGGGGTGATCCAAGGGATGCTTCTACTCCAGCACTACTGACCTGGGGGGCAGGGGAGGCTGATAGGAGAGAGTCTTCAGTGGCCCGCACTCTCTCGTCTGCTCCTCCCTGGAGACAATCTCAAGGATGGCAGGACATTGCCACTCCGGATGCTAGCTGGGCCAGATAAACTCTGAGGTCCCTAGAGGGCACACTGAAGAGGTGCTATAATAATAAAGGCACTGACAGCACCTTTTGAGGGGGATCCACTTTCCCATAAGTTCAAGTCTCCACATACGTACTACCATGGTTTGCGTTCCACAGGTTTCCGAATTTAGCAACCTATGGACTGCCCAGGCTCCATGGGACCAACACCACCACTGCCCACATGCTCAGATCCCCATAATTTAGAGACATTATTATGCTTGAATTAACATGTGCTAATCATAGGCCTCGTGTTCAACAGCAAATCCACCCCTCTAATTCAGGGGTTCAGTCTCACAGCCTATACACTCACTAACTGGCCCTACGCCACCTTGAATCAAGCTAACAATTACCTTTATAGGTAAAAGGAAACTCAGGAACAGGTGAAACATTCTCAATTTTATTTTTGTAGCAAAAACCTGTGACCACATTTTTTAATTTACAATGCAGCACGATTTTCTCCAAACCTTCTTATAATTCTGCACAGATATTGCTTCTACAGCAGTTATTTTCAAAATCATTATAGTGTTGCCACTGCACAGAATTAACATTACTGTGGCTTTATATGGGAAATGCCATGGCAACATTAATTATTTGCAAATGGTCACTGTCATATTCGTTATGGTGACCATGGCATTCTATCATGCTCTGAAATACTCAAACCTCTGAAA